AGGTGCCTTTGGGGGATAGGTTCAAGGGGTTAATGTCCCAGAGGGCTTGATATGGGAAGAGATACTGGAGGGAGGAGACAGGAGACTCTGCAATTGAACCTGTCATCAAGCTGCCAGGAATGCCTCTGACTGCAGCCAAACACTGCCCCCAGACCAGGACAGGACCACCTGGTAGAGTGGCCCAGAAATCAAGTGAGGTAATGGAATGAAGAGCTAGCTGTGTGGCACTCATCAGCCATGCAGTGGCTCTGAGATGGAGCAAATGGGTAGAGAGGGCTGGTATGTGTGACTAGAGAAAGGGGAAGGCAGAGACTGGAGGGGGAGGGAGAGAGAGGAAGGAAGGGCAGAGGAAGAGAAAGGAGCCTGGCTTGAGAAGTCACCTGAGGCAAGGAAAGCAGGCTCCCCAGGGCTGAACTGGACAGCCCAAGGGAGGCAGGTGGGATGCTGAAGCTGGGACAGAAATCAGCATGGAGTGGGTCACAGGCAACTCCTTGCCTGCCAGTGGGGGATTCCAGCCTCGGGAATGGCACTGTTTTCTGGGGTCTGGCATTGAAGGGCTGAGCAAAGATGAAGCAAGTGTGGGAGAGGATCTTGGCCCCTGGGAACTGGCTGAGGCTTCCCCGAGCAGCAGAGACAGTGGAGTGGAGGGTCCAGGGATAGTCCTAGCCAGGACTCCCTGGGAGAAGGCCTAGCATCAACTATGACCAGGGCTCAGTGAGGGCCATGGCTTGGTGGTGTCTGCCTTTCATTGCAAATCTTCCATTGCTCTGGCATGGTGGAAAAGCTGGGAGCTGGTACTTGAAGACCTCAGTTACTGAGCTGGGAGTGAAGGAACTTGGGGATCCTTGTGGGTTACCCTGACAGAGAGGGCTGAAGAGACCCCCAGACAGCCAAGGATGAAATGTGGGTGATGCATCTTGACAGGGATTAGGAGCCTGAGGGGAGGAGGGCACTGTTTCTGAGGAGGCTTGATGGGAGGAAAATTGCCATGGTAGAGAGGGTGGGGTGGGGGTTCCACGAGGTTAGGTGATGGACTTTGGTTTGAAGAAAAGCTGAAACAGGGAGCCAGGCACTGGTGACTCACACCTGTAATTCTAGCTTCTTGAGAGGCTGAGATTGGAAGGATTGCAGTTTGAGGTCAGCTCCAGCAAAGAGTTTGCAAAACCCCATCTCAATCAATTAGCTGGGTGCGGTGCTCATGCCTGTGTGCAGAGGCAGGGCTGGGAGTCAAGACCATCTTCCAAGCCAAGTGTCTGGCTCTGCCAGATCCACTTCACCTAGTATGAATAGGCGAGGAACTTCATTTGACTCTTTCTTTGGTCCAAGACCCAAAAACCAAACCTACACCTTTGAAATGCTTATAATCCAGGCTGATTGAGTTTCTCAGGCTGAGTTGGCTTTCTTTACATACGGGAAAGACATTGTCTCAGTAGTTACAAGCTTAATAACATCCTCCCTGCCCATACCCTCTCCTCCACTTTGGGTGGAGGGATCTCTGTTTTCCTACTCTATGATGCCCTGGGACTATACTGCTGCTAGGATGTATGAAAGGTTGACACCTAGGGCATCCAAAGCCAGGTGACTCTTTGGAGCAGGGTGGATGGAAGGGTGTATGGGTAGGAGAGACCAGCCTGGCCTCACACTGTGCTTTTCTTTGGTGTGGTCACTCTTTGGCACACAGAGGAGTGGGGGTGGGTGGAGGGTGCTATTCTATCCTGCCGAGTGTGGGGAAGACCGCAACTGAGCATGGTCTAGTCTTTTTCCCTAAATATGTATTTGAGCTAGTATTTTCTGTTTTATGCAAAGTGAGTCTTAAGCAGAAGTGTGAAGTAAGACCCTCAATCATTGTCGGCCTCTTTTCCAGCCCTGGGTAGATTCAGGAGGTGGGGGTGAGGGGAAGTGCATCCTCCAAAACCTGACTAGTTGATCTAAATTGATTGAGCAAGCCAGGATGCATGAATACTTTGAGGGTAACTTCTGATTATATGCATTGACAAATGAGAAGCTTGGGTCAGACAATACAAAGTTCAGTTGTCATTGGCAGCAAATTTCTCACCCTAATTATATTTTACATAAATTAATAGTAAAGTGGATTTGCATTGTCAGAGCACGAGTTGGAGTTGTAATGAGCTGGCTGAGGTGGGAGGAATGCCAATCTGGGCTTTAAATACTGTCCAGAGCCAATCAACGACATGGATAAAACCAGAAGGAACTGATTATTGTAATTACTAGCAGTCCAGATCAGCCTAACAAAACCAGCCTTGACTATGGAAGCTGATCACGTATGTGATAGATATTATTAGAATCACCCTGTTTTACAGAGGGGTAAATTGAGACAGATTCCAAGGGGCACTTAGGTTCTGTTTCTGTGACTAGTGTTTTCGTGGCATTCCTTTAGCAGTCAGTAGATACTAGCGAAGCACCGTTGGCAATAGGATGGGGTGTGGACCCCCAAAGAAGGCTTAGGTGGAAGACAGGTAAGGAGGTACAGGTAAACCTCCAGAAACTCATTAAGGGCCATGGCGGTCGGAGGCACAGGCTATACTAGCAGCAGGGTTGATAGAGGGAGGAAGGCCCTCAAGTGCTGGGGAAACTCCCAAGGCAGCAGAGAACCTGTATGGAAACGCTCCTCTGTGCAAGTGGTTCAGGCCAGGGTTAAAAGGGGAAGATGAGGAAAACCCTGAGGATGTCCTCTAACTCGCATCCTTCCAGTGGGCACCAGAATGCCTCCGAGTTCCTTCTCAGCCTCCCGGGGGAAAGGAGAAAACCCGGGGAGAACCCAGAGAGATCTTGCGCCTGTCCAGGTGGCACCCAGTGGCGAGCCGAGACCCTCCCGCAGTTCCAGGAGCTGATGGGAAAGGAGCAGAGTCAGGGCTGACTGGCAGCGCGGCGGGGCGGGGCCTGCCCAGGGGGCGTGTTGGGGCGTGACCTCAGGACGCCCAATCCTCTTCTTTCCCCACCCCTTTCCCCGCCCCCGTCCCCTTTCCACCAACGGCGTGCCGCGGTGGGCGGTTCCTGTCACGGCAGCAGTTATTGGGTGCGATTTTTTTTTTTCCTACGTTTTTCTCCTCCCTTTTAAAATTTTCTTCTTTTTTTTTTCTCTTTCCTTTTTTTGTGAATGAAAAAAGGAGGTCGCTAGCGGTCCCCGGGACTACAGCGCTAGGCGTCTTCGGGCAGCGACTGTGCCGCGGGCCCGGGCGCGTCGCGGCGGCGGCGGCCTCGCCCCGCGCCTTCCACTCTGGTGCGCCGCCTCCTGCAGCCTCCGCAGCAGAGCCCCGCAGCGGCGGCTTCGGCGCGGCCCAGCCGCTGGAGGTCGGAGCGGCCGCGCGCAACCCGACTCCGCGCGCCTCCATGACACTGGGCGCCCCGGGCGCGGGGAGATGCTGATCCGGAAGAGGCAGCGGCTGCAGTGCGGCGCGCGCGGCCGATCGCGGCCCGCTGTCCGGCCTGGGCTGCTCGGTCAGAGTTTCTGATCGACCGCGAGCCGGGCCCGGAGGGAGGCTGGCGGCGTCCTAACTTGCACGCGCGGAGTGACCCCAGACATCTCACTAAAATGAGCTTGCTTAGCCGGAAGAGATGTGTTCCGTACCCTACAAATTACCCCGTCACATGTAGTGGTGTAAGTAAATGATTAATTTCTATTATGGCCGGGTTGCAAGCAGCCTTTGCACACGCACCGCCTTGCCCTCCCATTTTCTTGGGCGCCCTCCCTGGCCCTGCCCGCACCCCTCGCCGTCCTCCCCTGGGCTCCTGCTGCTGCTGCTGCTTCTGCTGCTGCTGGGTTCGGAGGGGCCAGGCAGGAATTAACCATTTCCCGGTATTTCTAGGGAAAGGAACATGACTTGCCTTGGCGTGTCGTGCCCCTCCCCCTTCCCTGTTTTTTTTGTTAATTTTATTTTTAAATTGTGCCAGAAAAAACAAAAAAGTCCAGAGTGATGGAAACGTTTCTGTTTCTGGTTTTGTTTTGTTTTTTAAACCAATGGAATTTGGGTGTTTTGCTTGCGGTTGTGATTTTTTATTTTTAAGTCAACTCTATTGCAGTCTGCCCAACTGAGTTCTGGCAAACGGCTGGTGGAAATCTTGAGTGTCTTTTGTTAATGTTTCGACATCTTAGGCTTGAGAAGGCTTATTCTGTGTTTACGATTGTATTTTTGCTAATATGACCAATCAACATCCCTTAGGGCCTTGCTTTCCATTGGATGTGCATGGGGACCCGTCCCTCCACCTTCCCCCATATTCCAATGTCAGCGACCCCGGTGGGAGCGCCTTCGATTCTAAGTCCACCCTCTGCACCTTCTTCTCCTCCCGATTCTCCTTTCCTATCCATACTCCTTGATTTTTACCTTCATTTTCTGGATTTTCCTCTCTTTCACGTTTTCCAAAGATGCAGGATGTGGGATATGGTTGCTAGGAGACAAGCCAGGCTCCCAGGGAGATTCTGTCGTTTCCTTGACAACCAGACTAGGGCAGCCACAGATGCACAAGCCTCCTATCAGCTGTGGGAGGGAAAGGGGGCCTTTTTGAGCTTTGCAAAGAGTGTGTGTAGGGGTGTGGGGGTGGGAATGGGAGCCCATGAGGTTTGTAGCTAATCTGAGCATACCTTTGGGTCTGGCCTGGACTGAGAGAGCAGTTGGGCAGGAGGCTGTTTGAGGAGAGGGGGACAGTGAACTTGGGGCAAGAGTTGGGGAGAAGATATATTGGTGACTTTAGAATTATCATGGAGAAGACTAACTTAGGGGTTGGGATACCCAAAGCAAAGTGGCAAGGAAACCCTAGTTTATGGGGGGGTGGTCAGAAGGCTATGAAGGAATAAAGATGGGGCAATTGTGAGAAAAAGTCTAGAGTCATTGAAGGAGAGAGTGCCAGAGGGAAAGGGGAAGTTGAGAAGCTCACTGAGTGGGTTGTATCATTATGCATCAGCAATGATCCAGAAAAGTAGCAATATTCTAGAGCAGAAATTATATTACCATTGGCAGGCTGTCTCCAGGACAGGATTCTCATTTGTGGACAGGCCTGATTAGACTAAAAGTTCCACTGGCTTAATTGGGCCAGTCTGTATCTTAAAGAGAGATATAATTATACATATAGATATGCAATCTAGCATTACATAATACTATATTACATAAGAAGAAAAATACCCAGGCTGTCTTGGCATGAATTAACTGAAATTCAGGAGAGTTTCTTCCAACACCTTCATTCCCATTTTCCAGAGGGGGAGACTGATGCCCACAAAAGTGAGGTGATTTGCCCTTTCCTAGATAGAAAATGAAATTTACCGGGCAGGCTCAAGGGTAGAATGGGTGAGGATGATAAAAATAGAGAGGCAGTCGGAGGAATTTAGGAAAAGGGCAGCTCATGAGCCGATTAGGGAGGGAGTGTTTAGCTAGGGTAGCAATCCAGCAAGTCTGGTGTCTAAACTCACAGTCCAGTATTTTGTCACTCTCCTACTTGTTGGTAGGCTGTCCCCTACTTAACCCTGGAGGTGACAGAACATAAAGTGCACAGGAGTATATTAATGACAAAATAGATGAACTTGGACCAGTGTTGCTCTGCAGGTGTCCTGGCACCATCCCCAAGATGCTCTTGGATTTAAGAACTGAGGCCCCTTCTCTGGGCCTCCTCCTCCCTTTTGCCTCCAGACCTACATGCTACTAGAATCTGAATCTGAACTTCCGAAAGAAGTTCTTCTGACCAGTGAGTTTTTGTCTTTACCTTACAGCCACACATACTTTTCAGGGGGGATTCTATCTGGTTTTTGTTATTCACTTGATAAAACAGCATCCACACCTAGATGACTGCCCCCCTTCACGCCCTCTTTCCCCCTCCCCCTACATGTACTGAAGCTTGACTTGAGACAAGAACTGTCAAAGGGGGTTCCTGGTCCTCAGCTCAGAAGAGAGAAGGAAGCTGGTGGTTAGAAGAATGGTTGTCTGATGGGATGGATCAGAGGGAGCAGGAGTAATAGTTGCCCTGGAGACTGTGGTGGTAGCTGTGTGGAAACCCCTTGTACATCCTGTAAAAATCTGGTAAGGAAGCTGTCTCATTGAAAAGTCCTTGCTGCACTTTTTGCTTAGGATGCTGAGCTGGGTCCACTCGCACAAATCCCAGTTGCCATCGTTACTTGGATATTTCAGTTCTGCATTCCTGCATGCTGGCACCCAGTTACACAGCCCAGCAGAGATGGAGCTTCTCTGCTCTGCTGCTGGTGGCTTGGCTCTGGGCTGGATGGCTCAGGGGCCTCCAGGATTCTACTGCGCTCAGACTTCCTCTGCTTGGGATGGCTTACTCCATGTTTTTCTAGCCCCCAGACGATTCTTTTTGCACTTAGGGAACATAAGAAGGGGCAAGCCAATGACCCTGGAGAAACCAAGTTTCCTAATCATGCCTACCCTGCCTCTACTTCCTTTCTACCCTTTTATAAGGGCGAATGCCAATGGGGAGACTGCCAGCCAAAGTCTCCCTGAGCCCACGGCCTCCTGGTAACTGCTCCTCAAACATTGACTTGACATTTTGGTTCATTTGAACCATCTCTTTCTGGGGATAGACAAGCTACTTCCTCTTTGCCCGGCATTGAAGAAAACTGAGGCAGAAATTGAGACAGAAGCGTTAACCCTCTGCTCCCTCCAGTAACCAGTGCCCCACATAGATAACACAGTCAGCTTCTCCAGGAGTGCCAGTGTGTGGGGTCCTCCAGCCTGAGCATCTTCCTCCCTAGGAATGGAAGGTGCAGAGGAGGCAGAGCCCACTCTCTGGGAGCAGCCCACATAGGCCATTAGAGGTGCACAGCCATGGAGTGTATCTTCACAGGCTATAGTTCTCCCCACCCCCATCTCAAAGTGGGTCTTCAGCTGAGTGAGACACATGAACAACATGACAGATTGAGAGGAGAGGAGGAGGCCTGAGGGATGGGTAGGTGCATTTAGAAGCATCCCCACTCAAAAAGGCTGCCAAAAAAATCTCTCCCATTCCATTCAGGGGGCTGGGGTTGGAGGATGGAAGTGACTAGGCTGGGGCTTAGAAATCCACCAGAGAGGGCTAGAGGAAAAGGCGGGAGACCAGGATTGCTGCCACCCATTAAATTTTAAAGTGGCCCTGCCTGGAGCATGCTGGGAAGGGGTGGGGACCTGGCCCCAACTCTGCTTCTCTCAGCTATTTGTTCTGCTGCCATAGCCCCAGGGAGGAGGAGGAGAGCAGAGGAGGATGAATGAGCTTCCAGGCAGAACCTTCTCTCTTTCTCTCTCTCTCTCTCTCTCTCTCTCTCTCTCTTCTCTCTCTCTCTCTCTCTCCCTTTCTCTCTGTGTTGCAAGTGGGGACAGGATAAGAAGCCCAACTGGAGGAGGGTAGGGACTGGTGGCACTGCCCCTCTCAGCCTGAGTGGACTCCTGTCTCCTGGGCCCCTGTAGAGCTACTGCCCCCAAGTTTCCCATTTTTCTCTCCTGTCAGTACTAATGCTTAATGCAGGTTCAGCTCCAGCTGAGGAGGGCTGCCTGAGCTGGCCTTGGTCCTCAGCGGGCTGGCATGCCAAGTTGTCCTGACCACTCACTTCCTGCCCCTCAGGTTCCAATTAATGGATTCTGACATGGATTATGAAAGGCCAAACGTAGAGACCATCAAGTGCGTGGTGGTGGGGGACAACGCGGTGGGCAAGACCAGGCTCATCTGTGCCCGGGCCTGCAATGCTACCCTTACTCAGTACCAGCTGCTTGCCACTCACGTGCCTACAGTGTGGGCCATCGACCAGTATCGTGTGTGCCAGGAGGTAAGGCTGCAAGGACATTTGGCTGGGGGTCTATGCTACATATCTGGGGCTTCTTCCTGAGCTGGGGGTTGGTCTTTCCAGTCCCACTTAGGGATGGGACGGGGGTGGTAGAAGCAGAAGACTCCCCAGGAAAGAGGTCTGAGGGGAGCTGACCCCTGGGGAGGTATCTTTAACCATGTGTGATTTCAATGGCTGAGCTAGTTCCTGGGACCCGGAGCTTTGGCTGGGTACCAAAACTTATGCAATGACAGCCCTAAGTAATGGGGAGTCCAGGGGGTGAGGTTTGCAGAGATGAGAGCTGAGAGGGGGAAAGCTGTAATACCAAAAGGTCAGAGGACCATACCTGAATAAATGACTGCAAGGAAAGCTGGGAACGAGGGTAGGCTCGCCACGAGATCCTTTCTACATCCACAATAGTACGCCCCCCTTAGGCTCTCTTCTGCTTCTGCTCTGCTGGGAGGCTGCACTTGTTATTGATTTTCCAGACCATTTCGTCTGGATGAATGAGTTGTGCAAGGCATGTAGTAGGATATACCGGCCTTGTCCCTCCATGCCCCAGTGCTCCCAGGGATCCTTGGGGTGAGCTGGCACCTGCCCCAAGAACCACTGCTCTTGTCTACACCCATCCCAGGTGCTAGAACGCTCCCGAGATGTGGTAGATGATGTCAGTGTCTCCCTGCGCCTCTGGGACACCTTTGGAGACCATCACAAAGACCGCCGCTTTGCTTATGGGAGGTAGGAAAGGCTTGGCTGCTTGCAGGGAGCCACAAGGGTGGGTTTTCCTGCTTTCTAAAGCATCTGAGCAACTGTGTGCAGTTGAAAGTATGTGGAGGGAGTGGAGAAAACAGCATGGCAGACACTTTCAGGGGTGGGGGAAGCTGGGTTTAGAGTCCAGAGGCCTGGTTTGAGTCTCAGCTCGGCCACCTACCACCTCTGAAATGATTTTTCTCACTGTGAGATAGCAAACAAGGTAATTTCTAACTCACAAGATAGCTATGAGGTCAAAAAAGTCTTGAGTTCTAAAATGCTACATAAATTAGAGGTGCTATTATTATAGATTGCGTGGAAATCGTGGAAGCAGGTTCACATGCCAGGTGTGGGGCTGTGGTGTAGGGGTGGAGAGGGCATGCTTGTTCCCATGTTCCAGGGGAAGGTAACCTCCTACCAGCTTCCTCTGTCCATAACCTCTCTCTCATCTCCAGATCGGATGTGGTGGTTCTGTGCTTCTCTATTGCCAATCCAAATTCCCTTCATCATGTCAAGACCATGTGGTACCCAGAAATCAAGCATTTCTGCCCCCGGGCACCTGTTATCCTGGTGGGCTGCCAGCTGGACCTGCGCTATGCTGACCTGGAGGCTGTCAACAGGGCCAGGAGGCCCTTGGCTAGGTAGGGGTGCTGATGCCTGAGGAGAGGGAAGGGGCACAGAGAGAGGGCATGTCACCATGGCTGCCTGCTCAGCCCTGAGGGAGCCTTATGTCTCTCCTTGCATTTGGAGCAAGTTCACATCAGAGCCAACAAATGTCCTCATTCATTCATTCACTCACTCATTCTTGTATCTACTGCACACCTACTATGTGAACAGTCATGTGCTGGGTGCTGTGAAGAAAGACCAAGAGGAAGAAGTGGTATTTGCATGACAAGGCTTTATAATTTTGTTGGAGATAATACAATTGGCTCATAGGTATCCATCCATGACCCTGTGTATTCAACTCTGTGGAAAATATTTTTTTTTAAGTTGCACCTGTGGCTGGAGGCATGGGTCAAGCAGTAGAACACCTGCCCAGCCTGCACAAACCCGTGAATTCAAACCCCAATACCACCAAAAAAAACCCCTTAATTACATCTGTATTGTGTAAGTATAGACTTTCTCCCTTGTCATTATTCCCTAAACAATGCATTATGAGAACCATTTACATAGTATTTACCTTGTATTAGGTATTATAAGAAATCTAGGAAAGATTTAAAGAATCAGAGGAGGCTGGGTGCCAGTGGCTTATGCCTATAATTCTAGCTACTCAGGAGGCAGAAATTAGGAGGTTCATGGTTAGAAGCCAGCCTGAGCAAATAGTTTGTGAGACCCTATCTTGAAAAAAAAACATCACAAAAATAGGGCTGGTGGAGTGGCTCAAGGTGTAGGCCCTGAGTTCAAACCCAACACCACACACACACACACACACACACACACACACAAACGAATTGGGGATGTGTATAGGTTATATATAAATCACACGATATTTAAATAAGAGAAAAGAACTCCCATGGGATGCTTGAATACTGGGATGACTACAAATTGAACAGGTTAAATTCCAGTATGACTTAGTGCATTCTCATTGCCAGAGAGGGAGGTGTTGCTATCATATCCTTGAACTGGGGGGGGGGCGGGGTTTCTGGGGTCTGGCATAGATAAAGGAAGTCTTCTTGAAGGGCCTTATAGAAATTTGGCCAGACACAGAAGAAAAAGCAGGGCTGTAGAGGGGCCTATAAAATAGATTCTGAGCAGAGTCTTCCAGCCTAAGGAAGAATGAACAAGTTCCTTCCACCACCAACACAAATTTGGTTTCCTTTCTTGCATTCACCAGGCCCATCAAGCCCAATGAGATCCTTCCCCCAGAGAAGGGTCGGGAGGTGGCCAAAGAGTTGGGCATCCCCTACTATGAGACCAGCGTGGTGGCCCAGTTTGGTATCAAGGACGTCTTTGACAATGCCATTAGGGCTGCACTTATCTCCCGCCGCCACCTGCAGTTCTGGAAGTCCCATCTCCGCAATGTGCAGCGGCCTCTGCTGCAGGCACCCTTCCTGCCTCCCAAGCCACCGCCCCCCATCATTGTGGTGCCCGACCCCCCCTCCAGCAGTGAGGAGTGCCCTGCCCACCTCCTGGAGGACCCACTCTGTGCGGATGTCATCCTGGTGCTGCAGGAGCGGGTGCGCATCTTTGCCCACAAGATCTACCTCTCCACCTCCTCCTCCAAGTTCTACGACCTGTTCCTTATGGACCTGAGTGAGGGAGATCTGGGGGGCCCCTCGGGGCCAGGAGGCCCCCGCCCTGAGGACCACCGGGGCCACCCTGATCAATATCACCACCATCACCACCACCACGGGCGGGACTTCCTGCTGCGGGCAGCCAGCTTTGATGTTTGTGAGAGTGTGGATGAGGCAGGGGGCTCTGGTCCTGCTGGCCTCCGGGCCTCAACCAGTGATGGGATCTTACGGGGCAATGAAACAGGGTACCTGCCAGGCAGGGGTCGTGTGCTGTCTTCCTGGAGCCGAGCTTTTGTGAGCATCCAGGAAGAGATGGCAGAGGATCCTCTGACCTTTAAGTCCCGGCTAATGGTGGTAGTGAAGATGGACAACTCCATCCAGCCAGGACCCTTCCGGGCTGTTCTCAAGTACCTGTACACCGGGGAGCTGGGCGAGAACGAGCGGGACCTCATGCACGTTGCGCACATTGCTGAGCTGCTGGAGGTCTTTGATCTGCGCATGATGGTGGCCAACATTCTCAACAATGAGGCCTTCATGAACCAGGAGATCACCAAGGCCTTCCATGTCCGCCGGACCAACCGGGTCAAGGAATGCTTGGCAAAAGGCACCTTCTCAGGTATGGGCATGCTCAGAAGGCAGGGGCTTCCCTCAAATAGCTTTCTCAGGTATCTGAGTTGGTCCTGTTAGCATTCCTAGTTGGTCTCAGCTCCTGTTTGTCCTGGAGATGTGGCCACCCTGTTCCTGAACTGAAGAGCTTGGTCATCTAGTGCTCATGTTTTGTGAGTTCAGAGGCAGTTGTGTAGATGGGGCTCAGTGACTACCCTGGCCTGACTTTCCTGCATGCCACTGTATTCTTATGTGATGACTCTTCTCCTCCTGGACAGATGTGACCTTCATTCTAGATGATGGCACCATCAGTGCCCACAAGCCTCTGTTGATTTCCAGCTGTGATTGGATGGCTGCCATGTTTGGAGGACCATTTGTGGAGAGTTCCACCAGGGAGGTGAGACTAAGGATGGGAAGGGTGGGGAGGAGAAACATTTATGCCCTTGTATCTGAGTCACCATTAGTTAATGATTCTTTCTTTGTCGTTGAGTCTGTGCTAAGCACACAGTGATGGGCCCAAGATAAGTTTATGAGATGCTTCCCATAATCAAAGATTTTAAATATCTTAGGAGAGGAAATTACAGTAATGTCTGAACTTGGTAGTTTGGAACACACTTTTAGACATTATCTCATTTAATTCACACATGACTCTTACACACAGTATACCACTCCCATGTGTATGTAGGAAATGGAGGCCATGAGAAGTTGCCTGACTTGCACAAATTTGTGTGAGTGGAAAGGAAAGGTTAGGGCTGGAACCCAGGATCACTGATTCCTTGGGTCTATACATTTTACCTTTTTGCTTCTTTGAGACACCTGACACAACTAGCAAAAGTTCAGCCTCTCTCAAGCTGAATTCATCAGTCTTCAAAGGTAGGTTTTGTTATTAGTGAGTTATTTAAGTCAACAGATCAGATGACTGCCATTGAAAGAATAGTTTGATAGTCTGTTACTTACAAATCCTGAGGAGGCAGGGCTTGTGCACATTTGGTGGGTCATGCAGAGAAGCATCAGGTTGGCCAAGAAGCTGAGGTTTTCCCATGGGAAGAACAGGTGAGGTGGGGTAAACACATTTAGGATTGGATAGCTTGGAGAATTTCAGAGGGCTCTGGCACAGGGCTGGCCCTGGCCCTGGTTATCTGGTGTGTGGCTCTGTGGTGATTAGGACAGGGAAATAGTGGCCTGGGGTGTGAGAGCAGCATAGAGGAGGTGCTGGGGAAGTGGGCTCTAAATTGGTTGATTTACATTTGGAAGGCCCACTTGTAGGCAACTCCTTTGCTATGTTTGGGGATTGACAATCCTTAAGATACCTGCTAGGCAGGGGGCAAGGGTCAGAGGGCCATCAAGACTGTAGATGTCAAAGTACAAGAACACAGAATACCTTTTCCTCTAACCCAATGCTCCTCCAACACACCCGCCCTCCCCATGTGCCACTTTCTCAGGCACCTAGATGGGCTATCAGCGTGTCCTTAGAAATGAGTCTGCTCTCCCTTTTCCATCCTCTCAGACGAGCAGAGTAGCCCAGGCCACAGTCCTGGTGCTCTGCATCGTTTCTGAATCCTGTACATCAATTGCCCATTGCTCCACTTTGTGCTTAAACCAGGTTCTACTTCGTGTGGTTGTGTAGAGTTTTGAGTGTCCCCATGCAGGGTTCCCAACTGGTCTGTAATTGCTTTTGAGTTCAGGGACTACGTCTTTGACTTCTGCCAAGTACCCCCAAGGCCGAGTGCCCATCTCTTAGTAAGTAATCATCAGATACTTGACTGAAAAACTGAACTAAGAGCAATGCAGCAATGTCAAATTCTGTGATCCAGAACACGAGCTCCCTGTAATTTCTGAGAAGCAAGTGATTATGGAAGGTGAAGTGGAAGGGTTGAGTTGGTATCTGAAGTGGGAGTAGGATTTTGATATACTAAGTGTGGGACTAGGATTCTCTGGAGCTCCAGAGGCCTGCCTGCTCCAAGCATTTCTCAGTACCCTAGACACCAGCCTTAAAGCTCGGGCTGATTCCCAGCAGACCTAGTGAGACTCACATCTGATGAGAAAGCAGTTTTTGTTGCAGTGCTGCTCTGAAGAGATCCCAGAGGCCCAAAGCAGCAGCTGGTATTCCCTTTGCTCATTCCATATCCCCACTTCGGCTGCTCTCTGTAGGCTCAGGGGACCAGGACTGTAGGTCACTGCCAACCAGATCAGTTTTGGAAGGATGTCAGTAATAATTCAGGTCTCTTTAAAAGATACCAGGGCCCCACTCACTGGTATTACCAGCAAACTGGGGCTCAGTGCCAGCTGTTGCTATGGGGGCCAGGATTTTTGGTTGTGGGGTTGTCCTAAGCAGGTACAGGCACAGAAAAGGCTGTTTGGAGACCAGCTCCATGGGCCAGGCCTTTCCAGCTTTTCAGGACTGAGTTACTCTTTTCCTATGCTGGTCCTCATTGCCACCTGCCCCCTCCTTCCCATCCCAGGTTGTATTTCCATACACGAGCAAGAGCTGCATGAGGGCCGTGCTGGAGTACCTCTACACGGGCGTGTTCACCTCCAGCCCTGACCTGGATGACATGAAGCTCATCACCCTGGCCAACCGCCTCTGCCTGCCACATTTGGTCGCCCTCACAGGTGACTAGCGAGTGCTCAGGGGCCCTGCACAAAGTCAGGGAGACTCAGGGAGGGACTATATGTCTTCTATCACCTCTCTCCGCCCAAGGACAGGCTTAACACCATGGGAAGAAACTTTCCTAGAATGAAATCTGTCATGGGTACAGAGTCTGGATGAGGACATAGATGAGAAGTGTGTATGAGAGACTTGTTTGGTAGAGTCATTCAGAGGTCATTTCGCCCCACAAAGTGGTCTCCTGCAGGTGATGGCACTTGATGTTTTTAGCTTGGCTTCCCTTAGGCAGGCTTAGGGGTCAACACAGGTCCCTGTTTCTAAAAGCTGTGGTTCTTCTCCTTGTCTGCTTCGTCCTTCTCTTTTTCTTCTTACTTTCCTTTTTTGTCTTATACTTTTGATTTAACCTTCTTTTTCTTTCTCCAGAAATACAAAGCAAACATTGACCAGCCACTCATAAGTTCTTGAAAGAATTGTGAGAGCTGGAGCTTAGCTTTTAGAATGGACCAATCTCAGAGGCCCTAAGGATAGAGAAATGCCAAGGCAGTTGGGAGGTTCAGCAGAAGACAGTGTGGGTCCCAAGACCTGGTGCTCTTCAGGTGAAGGAAGGCTGGGGCCAGAGACCCAGGCAGACAGATAGTGTCTGTTGATGTTGGAGCTGACGTTGGTGTTATTGTTGGCATTGGTACCAGTGTTGGTTTTGAGGTCAAGGTCATTTTTCCTGGTCGCATAAAGGAGGAAGAGAGCAGATCCTCAGATATGGAGCTGGAGTTCAGACAAGGACCCAGTGTCAGAACTGCTAGGACCTTGGGCAGATATCAATACTGGGGCATAGACATGAAGGAGAACAGCAATCCCGTGGTGAGAAAGGAATTCAAGGTAGGACTTAGGCACAGGAAGAAGGCAGAAATTGTTGATCAGAACAAGAATATATATATATATGTATATATATATATATATATATATATATATATAGTTTGAACTAGGGCCTACACCTTGAGTTACTCCACTAGCCCTTTTTTATGATGGTTTTTTTTCAAGATAGGGTCTCACAAGCTATTTCCCTGGGCTGGCTTCCAACTACAATCCTCCTGATCTCTGCCTCCTGAGTAGCTAGGCTTATGGGCGAGAGCCACTGGCACCTGGCCACAGAACAAAAATATTAAGAGCCAAGCCTGCAGTGGGAGTCCAGGGATCCCACTGGTGGAAAAAGGGACTTTTAGGGACTTTTAAGAGCAGCATCTTAGGATTATAGTTGCTGCCCCTGAAAAATGGTGTGGTCTTCCCAGAGCACATACTATTTCAAATTCTTAGATGGAGTAATTCCACTTTTAAAAGATCATCACCAAAAATGACCCCAAGGGAAAATGAAATGCATAAAGATTTTTCTGCAAGTGCATTTCAGTAGAGCAGGAAATTGGAAACAAGTTAAAGAGGTACCCTTGGTTAAGGCCACATAGATAATGTCCCCATGGTAACCATTACAAATATTAAATTGCTCTGCTGCCTGGGAAGCCTTACAGGAAAATAATGTTAAATATCTTTTCCCTGGGAATAGTTCTTACACATTAGAAAGCATACACAAAAATGTATATATCGACGATATTCAGGATCAGTGGAGATGCAGAATTCTGTGTCATTGGTAATGATTTATGTTTTGTGAGAGATACATGGCCTATGAAGTTATTCAGAATTAGAACTTGTTTGTTGTTAAATATAACACCAATACATAAAACTGCATGAAACATATGTTCAGATAATGAATTACAAAGCAAATTGCTTTTCCAATCATGACCCATGTCAGGAGCTGGAACCTATCCAGCCACACTAGAAGCCTCCATGTGTCCTTCACTATCCCCAACCCCCGCCTTCTGCTCAGAAGGACCCCTCCCCCATTGCCAGCACTCTTCTCTTATGGTACTTTATATGGACTCATTTCCATCCTTGATAGTATATTATCCAAGTGTGCATCCTTAAGCACAATAGCATGGTTTTGCTTTTCATGTATCTTTTAAGTTTCTTTTAATCAATGGGTACCTTGTCCATTTTTTTAAAAAAATTCCCCCCTGAAATTTGTTAGAAAAAATAAACAGTAGTATTTTGTTCCTATAGTTTTCCATGATCTGACTTTTTGCTGATTGCATTTCTGTAGTACTGTTCAACATGGTCCTCTGTCCACTGTATTTCTTGTAAACTGGTAATTGGACCTAGAGGCTAGACCAGATATACGTGGGTTTTTTTGTAAAACTGCTTCATAGGCTGTTTCTCTTCTTTAAGAGGCATAGATTGTCTGTTTTCTTCTATTTTAGTGATATTAGGAGCCATTGAGCATTGGTTCTTGGATCTATTGGCTTATTAGGTGTTGTAAAATGTAGTATTCTAATTCAGTCATGTTTCCTTCTTTTGCTGGAAGATTTTTAAAAAGAGAGAAACTTCCCCTTGCCTACTGTTTGATTACTCAGTGGTACAGTTGTAGATAGGCAAATGCTTGGTTCTTTCCTGGTTTCCAGTTTTTGAGATACATTTGTTTCCTATCGTCCTTGAGGGTGACCAATAAGTTTATTGGGTTTTTTTGTTTGTGGTACTGGGGCTTGAATTCAGGGCCTGTGCCTTGAGCCATACCACCAGCCCTTTTTTGTAAAGGGTTTTTTTGAGATAGGGTCTCACAAACTGTTTTCCCAGGCTGGCTTTGAACTATGATCCTCCTGATCTCTGCCTCCTGAGTAGCTAGAATTACAGCCTTGAGCCACTGGCACCCAGCCTATATGTGTTTTTTTTAATGAACTCTTAGATTTGAACATACTTGATTGATGTTATCTTTCTAGAAGTTCAAATACTATACTTTTAGCCAGTAGGAGTCTCTTCAAGTTGGCTCCAGTCTTGGGTCTTCCTTGCTATCTGGAATGATAAAATACATCGTGCTCCAGACCCAGAATCGGCTACTTCTCCAAGAAGTCCTGGGTTCTTACAGTTGGAAATGGAAATAAGCACTGGAATGCTCATTGTTCCTGGGATGGTTATTGTTTCCAGGTCTTTTTTATGGATGGAGCTGGAAATTATGTTTATCTTTTTAAAGATAAAATACCTTGTGAATTTATACTGACACTTTTAATTAAAATTCAGGACCAAAGTTGTTTACTTCCTCAATATAACTTTTAATGTAAAATGCAAGGTTAGTATATAATTTGTTACACAATTTAAATTAATAGGAACAAGTAGGTTTAACTCCTATTATAGCTCATCCATTTTTGTTTTTGTTTTCCACAAATATGAGGCTTCACACTCTTTCCTGTCTATATCAGTGGCTCATTCATTGACCCTTGTATAGCAGATTATGTGGTGGGACACACGCAGTTTGAAAAATGCTCTTAGTGAGTTTAGCATTCTTCTTCACCCATCTCCACCTCCACTGAGAAGGTCTTGCCTTCATCTCAGTCTCCCCTCATCCCCTGTGGGAGCAGACTTAAGCCCCTGTGGTCTTTCCTGGCCTGTTGGGACTTGCCCCTGGCCTGAGCTCTCCCTGCGTTCCCCACCCCTAGTCCCTCCTGCAGTGAGCTGTAGCTGTAAGTAGTGCTTTCACGTGGTTCTTCAGCTGATTGCAGACTGTGTGTGTCACAGAGCAGTACACAGTGACCGGGCTGATGGAAGCAACCCAGATGATGGTGGACATTGATGGGGACGTCCTTGTGTTCCTGGAACTGGCACAGGTATCATGGCAAGGGAAACAGTTAACAACATCCTCAACTCCAGGCTCTGTCTGATCACTGGCAGTGCACAGTGGGGCTGGGAGGTGGTAGCTAGGAAGGGAGCCCATTGTCAGACTTGGCTCTCCCTGTTCATGGGGTCTCTGAGCCTATCTCATCCTCCATACCGGGAAACAGCAAGGGAACTCTCTCAGACATCCCCTGATGGGAGGTGGCCACAGGAGGAAGGCACAGAGACTTTGGTCACCATCAGGCAGCAGAAGGAAGCCCAGAAATGGTTGCTGTCTGTCTAGGGTCATTTAAGTGGTCTTGAGGACACTCCCTCTGAAATTAACTGCTCATCTCCTTATTTCCAAACAAACAAGTGATACCTCCCATACTGGCCCTCACAGTACCAGGAATTCAACCACCAAAGTTTAGTTTATGTTAGAGCATGGCTGATGCCAGGCTTGTGGGCAACCTGGGGAAGACCAGCTCTCTGCACCCAGTTGCCTACACCTTGGTGTAGACTGCTTTGGCTTGGCTGCTGATGGGAGGAAAAGGAAAACATGTGAGGTAAGATCAAAGGAGGGCAGATGCAGTAGGAAGCGCCCCAATGACAATAAATGTCTGATAGTGTGGACGCTATGGGCAGGACCAAGGCAAGGTAACAGGGGTTGGTAGTGATGCCCAGGAGCCCAAAGCAAGCACCATCTTCCTCACTTCTCAGTGGACTTGGCTATGAAGGTGGACTCCTTATGACCACAGAGCAGTTGCTCATAATGCACCAAAGCTGAAGCTCTGAAGGTGATTGCAGAGGTTATGTAGTCCCTGCTCTGAATGTCTCAGTACAGACACGCTTCTGTTCCATCCTCAGTTCCACTGTGCGTACCAGCTGGCCGACTGGTGTCTCCACCACATCTGTACCAACTACAACAATGTGTGCCGCAAGTTCCCCCGAGACATGAAGGCCATGTCCCCAGGTGAGCATCCGGGCCAGCCCCTGCAGCTCTTCCCTCAGGGTGAAGCTGCCTCAGCTCGGTGCATAGTTCTACAGCACATGCCTATACACTTCACTCCCCTGGTTCCACAGCTTCCTGACTCCCCACGCCCTCCAGAATAAGGCCAGCCCTCCTTCTGATCTGCCCTACCCACCTCCTGCTGTGGCTGTGGATTCTCTCAGGGAAACCTCAGCTCTCGTCCCCTAATCCTGCACAGTCCTGTCCTTCCTCTTCCCTCTTTCTTGGTCTCAGCCTGTCCTGACTTCAATTTTTTGAGTGACTATGGTGCAGAAACAGTTTGCGTTCAGTAGAAACTGCACTTTGAACTTGGATCTTTTCCTAGGCCAGTGCCTCATGAGCCAATTCTCTGGCCCCGCTGAGCAGTGGCAGCAAATGTAGCTCCCAGTGAGCCCATGGTCATGGGGGTATGGGGAACTCTCCAGGGTGCCATGCTTAGCCAGGATGCTCCTAGGTTAGGCGGATTCAAGGCATTTTCTTTTTCTGTTTTCTTTTTCTTCTCTTCTCTCGTCTCTTTCTCTCTCCTCTGTCCTCTCTTCTCTCTCTCTTGTACTGGGTATTGCTAGGCAAGCATTCTCCCACTCGAGTCACACCCCAGTCCTTTTGCTTTTAGTTTGCTTTTCAAGTAGAGTCTCAATAACGTTTTGCCTTGGCCAGCCTTTGCCAGCAATCCTCCTATCTCTGCCCTCTGAGCAGCTGGGGTTATACGCCTGGGCCACCATGCCCAGCCTCAGTGCATTTTCCACTGATAGTATTTTCCACTGAGGAAAGCCTGACTGAGCAGGACGCAGTTGTAAGCTGGGGAGCAGCTGTACACATGCAGCCCCATGAATATTGTCCCTTTATCACTGGAAGTGCCTTCCCTGGTGCTGGATGTGAACACTGCCCCTTGGGCCTTTCCTGTCCTCTGTAGCTCTGTGCAGTGGGGACTCCCATCCTGAACCACCCTGGCCCAGGGGCCTGGGGCAGGTCCTGTATGCAGTGGCAGAGGGTGCCCCTGGTTACCACCATGTTGTGTGCTCTTCTTCCCCTTGCCCTCCTCCTAACCTAACCTTTGCACTCTGCTCCAGAAAACCAGGAGTACTTTGAGAAGCACCGGTGGCCACCTGTTTGGTACCTAAAGGAGGAGGACCACTATCAGCGAGCACGGAAGGAGCGTGAGAAGGAGGACTACCTGCACCTCAGGCGGCAGCCCAAGCGGAGATGGCTGTTCTGGAACAGTCCCTCCTCGCCATCCTCTTCTGCGGCCAGCTCGGCATCCCCATCTTCCTCCTCGGCTGTGGTCTGAGATGCTGCCACCCTCTTTTGACCCTGCTGCTCTTGTCCCCATTTGCCCCTGTCCCTCTGCTCTTCTGCATCATCCCTTCCACACGACAGGGACAAGGGGACCCACCTAACAAGGACCCTAAGGGCAGAGCTGTTCTCACCAGCCAATGTGGCTCAGACAAAGAGAAGCTTGGCCCTTTGGATGAGAACAGGGTCTGCCTACAGGGGCCTCCAGTTCCAGGCAGGCAAAAGATACCTGCTGGGAGGCATGGAGCTGGAAACCACTAAGAGCTCTGGAATTTTCTGTTTTGTTTAGAATCCTATAGAGTCAATGGAGGAAGTCTTTGTCTATATGTCTTGGTTTCTGCCCTGGGCAGGGAGGCAGCCCCCCTCCCAGTGAGCAATGTGGCTTCTACTGGCCACATCTTTCTACCAAGGGACTTGAGGGTTGCAAATGTTTTGTGGGCCACATCTACATGGAGCCTGTTCAAATCCTCACTGGCAAAGTCAGGGTAGAAATTGAACCTTCAGAGCCCAAGTCAAGGCTTCTGCATCTTGGGGTGCAGCTGCTAGAGGTCACTGTGGGAAGCTTGCATCCTGCCATCATTCGTCCCAGGAGCAGGCCATTCAGGCTTGGTGGGAGGGGGTAGAGGTAGTTCCCAGTTCCAGACCTGGAGGCAGTGCCTCTTGGTGCAGTGAGAAACTTCTCCCTCTCCCTCTCCAGCATTCCTCAGATTTAGAGATGGGAGCCAAAGGAAAGAGCTAGAATGGGGAAAGGAGGAAGGGTGGGGTCTGTGCAGCAATCCTGTGCTCCTCTGGGCCCCTTTTCCCTGCCTCTGGGTAGCACTGCTTTTTCTGGGGTGGGGCAAAGTTAGCAGAAACAAAAAAACCCAACAACAAACCAATGAAAACCAAACTCAAAAGATAATCACCACCAAGAAAACCATTCTATCCTCCCAAAGAATGAAGATCAGAAAAAAGACCCTGTAGAGCTTACATTTTTATAAAACAGAACAGAGGCCTCCTTGATGAGGAGACAAAGGGTCAGTGTGTCCCATCAGCTCCCATGCCTTTCAGAGGGCTTGTCACCTTCTGTGACTGGGCAGTGGCTGGCCTGCAGCTTGCTGGTGCCTGAGGTCACAGAGTTGGGGCAAGGTTTCAGGGTTGGAGCTGCACTGAACTCTTCTTCTGCCATCTTGTTTCAGGCTGTCTCCCTTTCTACAGGTGATCCTCCAGGGTGCTCATGGAGAGTGTGCTTTGGGGGCTGGAGCTGGGCTCAAATGTCAGGAAAAAGGACACAGAGCTGGGGAACCAGGAGTCCACTGAAATGAACAGTCATAGGACATGGGGTCCAAGCTAGTGCTGGCTTAGGATAAAGGGAAGGAGAAAAGGGAAGAATTGAACAGGAGAAATGCACAGTTAGTCCAAAGAGACAGGATGTTGACAGGAGGATTAAAACAGTAGATTGCAGCTCCCAGGAAAGAAAAGTTGGGCCTCCATTGACCCTTCCCCTTTTCCTTAATCCTGACCATACCTCACCACCCCATACCCCTTAGATTCAGGAGATGGAGTCCCATCTCCCAAGAGATGTGAGAGCTCAGTAGGCCTCTCCCCTGACAAGATGCTTTGGGAAGGAGGACGGGCTAGGACCCAGGGACCTGGATGGGCTGGTGAGGTCTTGGGAAGAGCAAACCCAGAACCAAAGGCAGCCCAGCAATGATTGTGTGGTGCCAAGACCTTGACTCTGAGATTAAATCCTCTCCTGAACTCAGTCAGTCAATGCTGTGTTCAAGGCAGATGGAAGGAAGAAGTGGTGCAGGTCTCAAGAGGAGGTGAACCAAAGTTACCTGAGCCCTGACTCTATAAGGCTATGGCTGCCGGTCCCACGTCTCTAGCTGGGAAGCCAGTCACGTGCTGCCCTCTGCTGGCTGGTCAGCCTCCCTGTAGCTGAGCTCTGCCCATGGCTTCAGAGTGAAGCTGAGGTGTCTGTGAGCAGGGGAAGGGAGTGTCCAGGACAGAAACGGGTGCAGCACCCCATGCCTTCCCTCTGGGGCAGAGTATAGGGCATGCCTGGCCTTTGGGGAACTAGTAAGAGGAAGTGCTTAGTCCTAAAGTACAAGGGGAGGGAGTTACAGCTCTCCCAGGGGCCACTGGTGAGGACAGAGGGAAGCTGATACCAGTGAAGTTGGAGGAAACCCGAGGAAGAGTGGCCACAGAAATTCTCCTCCCAACCAAGCCATGAAGCTCACCCCTCAGCCACTGTCCTTCCTTCCCCATGGCTCTGTCAGAGCCAGTCTGCACCATCCCCTGCAGCCCAGAGAAACCAGCCTGGGAGGCCAGGCTGGAACAGGTGTCCCTGTCCCCTAGGGGAAAGGGCAGACCAGAAAGGGAGAATGAGGAGGTGTGGAATTCCAGTCTCCCCCAGGAATGGGTGCCCTGGATTCCAGGGAGGCAGAAGCAGGAGACACCCCTGTGCAGGGCAAGCCTGTGGGATAAAAGGGAGGAAGGAGCAAGGGGGTCACACACTTCCCTGGACTCAATCACTCAGTCACTCAGCGCTGTGTTCAAGATGAATGGGAGGATGGGGTAAAAAAAACACACCTGTTTTTATATAAGGTTTCATATTTAATTTGGTCATGAATTCATAAACACATGAGTATTTTTTACCTAATGGCCTTCCTTGTGTTGTTTGATATTTATCTCCAGGGAAAACCTGGGTGACACGCCTGTCGGTTCTGGGTACAGACAGTGATACGAGTCATGATGAACCCCAACATCTGTATGCTGCTGTAGGTTACCACTGGAAGAATACACATGACCAACACTGATCAGGCTAATACTTTACTAGATGGGCACCCAGGGAAGTCCTCTGAAAAAGACATGAGGGAGCTGAGTGCTCGCTGGCTCCCTCTGAAATCTGAGAACAGTCACCCGGGTCCCAGGAGCTGTGAAGGCAATGATCAGGAGGTAGGAACACTGTGCCTTCTGAGAAGAAGGACCCCAGGGACAAAGAGCAAGAGGGAAGAGAATGGGGTCTTCCCTCCTAAAGCTGCATGGACAGCACATCCTACATGTGCCTCCAGCTTTGGCCCAGTCACAGCAGCCCTAGAACAGAATGCCTGGAGATGGAAAGGGCCCTAACCCCGGGGAACTGCCATCTCCGTGACTCCATCCTGCTGTGACTTATGGAGAAGGCCTTGCTCGAGGGAAGGCTGAAACACTTGAGAATTTAAAAACAGAATAGTGGTAGAGCACCTGCCTAGCAAGAATGAGGCCCTGAGTTGAAACCCTAATAGCACCAAAAATAAAAAGAATTATTATTTCTTGCGGATTTTTTTTGTTTGTTTGTTTTGGTGGTACTGGGGTTTTTGAACTCAGCCTTGCACTTGCTAGGCAAGTAAGTGGTCTACCATTTGAGCCACTGTGCCAGCCCAAGAATATGTCTTTTTTTTTATTGTTTTATTGTTCATATGTGCATACAAGGCTTGGGTCATTTCTCCCAAGAATATGTCTTTCTAAAAGGAATATTCTTTCTCTAAATTGCTTGGTAATACAAGAACATATTAGTACAAACATATTGTATAAGAACAACAAAAGAATTAGTACTTCTGTGTCACACACAGAAGTCACATGCTTTTAGAGGAATATGGTTCTCAAATAGGACTGTACCCCCAGTGTGGCTAGGGCTCAGATTCACCAGAAATGATGGGTGCCATCTAGTCCTGAGTTAGCAAATACTTCACATTTCATGAACACCATCTAAGCTTCCTCCTTGGGACCATGACAAACACTGGGGATAGATCCCTGTCCTCTCTCCCCTGAGCCAGCTACTATGACTCAGAATTCTAACATGCCTTAGACATGGCACGTGACACAGAATTTATGTCACTTTTCATTTAATCTGCCTCCCATGTCAGCAACAGATGTGAGGCTGGAAGTCCAAGAAGGACTGTTGCATTAGTGAGGTTCTCTCAGGAACATAAGTAGTGGGTGCACATACATATATAATTACAAAAAGGAATTTCTGAAAGCCTGGTGTGGAGATTGTAGATGTCTACAATCCTGTCACCTGGGGGCTGAGGAAGGAAGAGTGTGCGTTTGCGAACAGCATGGCAAGACCTTGTCTCAAGAAACAAAACAAAAAAATGGGGTGGGGGATTCATCTTTATCCCTCACTTTTCTTTCCTTTTCCCCTCCCCCTTCACATTGATTCCCACCCCCCCCTCAAAAAAACGGTCCTGCATATACATTCATAACTCATCATTATCATCACCTTTTTAGATGATGTTTCTCTAAGTTTCACAAATGAGCAAGAACAGGCAATATTTGGCTTTTTGAGCTTGGCATAGCTTGCTCAGTATGATGAGCTCCAGTTCCGTCCATTTTCCTACAAATGACATAATATCATTTTTCTTTATGACTAATTCAAATGTTTTAGCATAACTTACACAATCACATGCACAAATATAAAAAAACTATAATAAATACATCAAAATAAAAAACAGACATATATATTAACATGGATAGATCTTTTCATATGACAACCTCAAGTAAAAAGGGTAACTTTTTATTTGTGTGGTGCTAGGACTATACCACAAGGGCTGCCAAAACTAAAGGCCAGCCCTTAGTTTTGTTTTGTTTTTTAAACAGGTTCACAGTATGTAGTTGAGGCTGGCCTTGAACTCACAATCCTCCTCAGTGCTGGGATTACAGATGTGCACCATCATGCCTGGCTGGTAATTTTTTTTTTTGGTGGTACTGGGGTTTGAACTCAGGGCTTCACACTTGCAAGCATGCACTCTACCACTTGAGCCACACCTCCAGTCCACAGCTAGTAATATTTATAAGGGTGAAAATCACTATGGACTAAAAAATGTTAACATCCTAACAAGTCCAGATGCATTCACAAATATACAAGTGTACCATACCAAAAGTTCCAATACATTCCCATAGTTTGCTTATCATAGTTCAGAGAAACTACACCAATTCTGAGGCAGGTTAGGATTCGGGAAAATTTGGGACTGAGACCCCTTCCTGACATGCCATAAGAGCTCTACTGTAATTACAATAAATTAGAAAGAATGGGAACTTCCTCCCTCATGGGTAGAGCACCTGAGAATGAACACAGGCTTACAGGGGAGTCAGGCCCAGCTCCTCCCCCTGGCTCGAAGGTCAAGGAAGTCAGGTGACTTCCAAGTTTAAGGTAGTATAAAAATGACCTAAAATAAACCACTGGCCCTTTTTTCTTTTTCCGCTGTATGGAGCCTCCTCTCTCCCAGTAGAGCAGGTAATCCCTTTCTCTTTCCTACAATAAAACTCTTCTTTCTCACTACACTGCCACTGAGATCTTCTG